TAAATAAATAAAATAATTATTTAGAAAAGAAAAAAGAACCAGGGAACAAATGGTGATAAGATTTTGGAAGCTGTAAAATGGTTAGGCAAGCAGTAACAGGGCCACAAAAGCTGTCTCCTATACTGAAAATGGGAAGACCAGAGCACCACTCCATTTTCTACTTCAGGATTCCCAAAGATTCATAGAACTTGCTATCCCAGTTACTAGTGGAAGTAGAGTGATGGGAGATATAAAACAAGGTGGATTTTTTGAAAACTGTTTAAAAATAAAAACACAAAATTTTCCCAACTCCAGCCCCTATTTCACATGAGTGACTGCTTAGTCTTTTATTTTGAGATATTAGACAACATCGAATGAGGGAAATGTTTTTTTAAAAAAGAAAAATAAAACAGATAAATTAATTGAATTTAAACAGATCACTTATGAAAAGACCCTCTATTTCCCAAACCATTTCCCCAACCCCTACGCAATATCCTACCCACCCCTCCTCACTCTACCTGGCCACCAGAATGTTAGCAATTAGGCTTTTAACACCCTCCCATCCCAGAGAAATCTGGAAAATCTGACAGCCTCAATGAGCAACCTACGATTCTGATGTCAGAAGTTTCCTGACTCAAAGTCCCAACCACATCCCCCGGCAATGAACCTCAAAGTCAATAATACTCAGAGAATTCTGCTATGCTTAATCACATGCAGGCAACCAAAACCAGGCAGACATCTGGAAAAAGCCTCTGACATGAGTAGTAGTGATAATGGCAAATGTCCAGGAACGAGTACAGTGCAGGGTCCAGAAAGAAAACTGTTGCACACAAAAATTAGTGTCCACTAAGAAAGATAAAAGGTGGTAAAATATAAAACAAGAACGCACAAATACAACGCCACAGAAAGGAAGGCTAAGGGGAATAAAAAGAAGATTTCAGTGGTTAAAAGTATAATAACAGTAATGAGGGCAGGAGGGGAAGAGGGCAGAGAGGGAAGGAGGGAGGGAGGGAGCATCGTGATGTTCTTAGAACCGTATCTGCATGGTGGCCCAAGTTGTTGGGCCAGTGTCACCCATGTGGGAGGCAGAGTTGGAGTTCCTGGCTCCTGGATGCAGCATGCCCAGCCCCTGCTGTTGTGGTCATTAGAGAGTGAACCACTGTGTGGAAGATTCCCTCTCTCTCTCTCTCTCTCTCTCTCACACACACACACACACTTTGCCTTTCAAATAAAAAGAGAAATCTTTTAAAAAAAGAATTGTATCTACAAAGCACATCGAATCTGTTAAAAGCTAATGAAATATAAATAATACACACACACACACACACACACACACACACCAGTAATGACAAACGTCAGTGAAGTGCTGAAATGCGGAGTCAAGAAAATGTCCCAGAAAGCAGAACAACTAAAAATAAAGCTGAATGCAGGGGATACAACTTCCAGAGAGAAGTTTCAAAAAGAAAACCGAGGGAAGGCAGTCATCGAAAACTGACTCCAGAGCAGCACCGACACCTGAAGGCTGTGTTTCCACACGGGAAGGAAAGGGCTCCTTAGCTGTAAAATTCGGCGCTAACCTTGTAAGACTCTAGGCGGTGGCATAGTGGGTTAAGCCGCCACCTGCAGTGCCAGCGCCCCATATGGGCTCCGATTTGTGTCCCAGCTGCTCCACTTCAGTTCTAGCTCCCTGCTGTTGTGCCTGGAAAGCAGAAGACAGCTCAGTTCCTTGGGCCCCTGCACCCACGTGAGAGACCCAGGAGAAGCTCCTGATCCTGACTTCCGCCTGGCTCAGCCCAGGCCCTTTGTGTTCATTTGGGGAGTGAACCAGCGGATGGAAGATATCTCTCTCCGTAACTCTGCCTTTCAAATAAATAAATAAATCTTAAAGAAAAAACACGAAGTAAGAAGACACTAAACAACTCACAAGAATGACCAACAAATGTGTCACATACCTGTTATTTAGAAATTTAGAAACAAATGCCAAAATGATCAGATGAAAGGGTGAAAAATAATTGTTTCCAGAGTGAAAAAATAAGAAGAAAAGACCACAGGGGTTGCTATTTTTTCATCATTTGTAGCAGAGTTGATTATTTATGTGCATTTATTAATTAGATAAAAATAAAAAGTAAATGTGTAAAAGAACACTTAATAAACAGACAATGGCAAAATCAACCAATGCACGTGAAAAAAGTATGAATTAGCCAGAAGATACATCTGAACAAATTAATTAGAACACAGCACAGAGGGATAAAGAGAGAGCAAATAAGAGAAGGAGATAGAAGACAAGGAGGACATAAGGGAAGGCCCCCTCTATGCCACATTGGAGTCCCAGAAGGAGAACAGAGGCATAGTAAAGGGGAGATAATATTTGAAGCAGAAGTGACAGAATTTTCTTCAACTGATGGTTAAGAATACTTAGCTTCAGAAATCCCAAAGAAAGGTCAGGGTTATACCAGGAGGTGAGGCTGTCATAGAATCTAAAGGAATATAAATCCCCAGAATGAGTCCTGGACACACAATTCCGGTGATTTTTTCTATGTTATTGTTGCTGAGCAACAGATTTGCCCTACTTGTGTGCTTCCAAACAAGCAAATGTCTAGAAAATCACCATAAGCTGGCTGAGTTTTTCCAAGAAAGAGAATTTTTATTTAAGACAGTCATGAGAGGAAGCTGGGCAATGACACACTAGATGTCCCTATTCAAAGGGGGTTTAAGGATTTAAGGAGTAAATGGGGTGCAGCTGAGTAGATGGATGAGTGACGTGAGGCAGCAAAGGCGAAGGGAAAAGGAGAGTGGAAAGTGCCTGGGCACGTGCACTAGCAGGCCATGCATTTCTGTAGGTCTCCAAGAGGCAGGCTTTCCGCTTCGCAGCTAAGACGCTGTGTTGGGACATCTGCATCCCACATAGCAGTGCCTGAATGTGAGTCCCAGCTCCACCAAATTCCACCTTCTCTCTATTAGTGACCCTGAGAAGCAGCAGGGAATGGCCCAAGTAGGAGAACCAGCCCCAGATATTGCAGCCACAATGGCTGGATTTTTTCTGGGTCAATTTTTCCAGGCTGAAACCCAGAGCCCAAAACTCCATCCAGGTCTTACTGTGGGTGGAAGAGTCCCAAATACTTGGACCATCATCCATTTCTCTCCCAGGCGTGTTAGCCAGGAGCTCGATCAGAAGCAGTGCCGCCAAGGACTGAAGTCGGAGCTCCGAGATGAGATACCAGCAACGCAGATGACGGCTTAACCTGCTGCACCACAAGACCGGCACCTCAGACTTTTTAAATTGATTTGCTATGTGTGAAATACTTCACTTTAGGTAAATCACATACACATGTATTGATGCATATCATGTAACTTTCCAAAGGGCCTGACTTTGGTAGTCAAGTAATATAAACAAACTAATTTATGAAAACAGTCATTGTTTCATAGCTAAAAAGAAGATCGTTATCCCTAACTTTAGGCAGTCTCCTGAGGAAATGTTGCCTGACTTACAAAGAAAAACCGCTTGAAACATATTCAAGTTTTGTCTACATGATGCCACAACAACTAATTGAAGAATGAAAAACACAAACTCAGTCCTATGTTTTGCTTACATGTTAAAAACCAGTCTAATTCAACATATTAAATTAGTGATTTTGGCATCATGTAGACAAAAAGCTTGGTTATCTTATTAGGGAGTTAATTTCCTGTTCCCTTTCCTTAGCAACTTGGTTTCTGTTTATTATCCAATCATTATTAGTTTCTACTTGAGTAACCAGGTAAATTATATAAGCAGTATAAGTATTATTTTGAAATGGCTAATCCTGCATCTTATTGCAATGAATTTTTTTTTGCTATCAAAATTTTATGATTTAAAGTGCTAATGAGCATGGCAATTGGGATTATGTGAAAGGCACAAGCAATGAAGAAACAGACTTTCAAAAAAATGATGCATTTTTTCATTTAATTTAAAATTCTTGTAGTTGCTACATGTAAATAAAGCATTACCTTACTTGGGTAGACAGTTTGTGTTTAAACCAGCACAAACTATGGTGACTGTAAAACATAATAACTATGTGAATGTGTTGACAGAGAGGTAGGTGCAGGGTGAGGATGAAGGTGGCAGAGTGAGCTGTGAACAGGTGACAAGACCTTCATAGGAAGAGCTTCCTAATCACTGATAGGCTTCATTGACAAGGAGCTGAACTACAGTTACCTTAGAGAACACCATTTTTATTTTCTACCTGTTAAATCAGCAAATCTAGGTAATGAAATAACATCTTCATTTGCAAGGAAATATTATGATCGATTTTTGCTGATAAATGCTCTCAGTATTATCTTGAATAATGCAAACATTTCCTGTGGTGTTTGCAGTTTGGCATTTTGGGTATTACTGTGCCTTTCAGATGCTGAGAGACATGCATGGTTTCCTTGTGGAGTCTATTTTTCAGTCTTCAAAGAAGCATTTTAAGTGGGAATAGAAGAAAACCACTTTATTTCCGTTTTGCCTAAGTCAGGTTCCTCCACGACACACAAACGTTTAATAAATTGCTCTAGGCCGGCGCCGCGGCTCACTAGGCTAATCCTCCGCCTAGCGGCGCCGGCACACCGGGTTCTAGTCCCGGTCGGGGCGCCGGATTCTGTCCCGGTTGCCCCTCTTCCAGGCCAGCCCTCTGCTGTGGCCAGGAAGTGCAGTGGAGGATGGCCCAGGTGCTTGGGCCCTGCACCCCATGGGAGACCAGGAAAAGCACCTGGCTCCTGGCTCCTGCCATCGGATCAGCGCGCTGCGCCGGCTGCAGCGCGCCGGCCGCGGCGGCCATTGGAGGGTGAACCAACGGCAAAGGAAGACCTTTCTCTCTGTCTCTCTCTCTCACTGTCCACTCTGCCTGTCAAATAAGAAAAAAAAAAAAAAAATAGTATATATATTGCCTCTAAGTTAGAGGTAAGAAACAGAATTTCATCGGGGAAAAGGTGTCCTTTATTCTCTGAGGAAAAGGCAATAGGCAGTTAAAATGAATGGGTTGTTAACGGATTTTGCTATTTACCTTTGTTTTGTTTTCTCCTAAGTCAAAGGCGAGGAGCAGTCAGGATGATGAGAAGGGGGTCCTCACGGATTCTACTGAAACTCTAATTCCGAGGTCTTCTCACCTTAGATCACATCCAGATTCTAACACATGAGGGTGTTTCCATTAGGACAACCATATTTCAAAACTGTGTGAGGAAAAGAAGTGCTTGTCAATAGGCTACTGCTTAATGTTAGTCACCTCAGATCAAACTTGCTCAAAGACAAATGTTCCCACTTTATTGGCTGTACTCTCTGACTGACCTGGTGTGCAAATTAACTAAAGAGCAATAAATCAAATGGAAGAGATTTGAGCCACAACATCTATGCTCTCTGGGCTTCCAAGACATACAAATGATTGCTTTTTATTAAAATCCTCAATAAATAATGCTGCTTGGAAGGTGTGAAAATAAACTAGATTTGCCATTACTCTAAAGTTATCTCCACGTTTTGGTATTTTGTCTGTGGAAAGTAGATCCTCCCATGACTCCCACGGACCCAGTGTTTCCATATTGTATTGGGCATACTGTAACTACACATACATCTGTCATATAAAGTCTCCCTAGTACACGGAGATTATGCTTAGTTTCTCCTTACATTCTCTTTCAAAACTCCCCAGTGTGCAGAGAAGTGGGTGAATGAATGAGTAGAAATGTTGGAGATTTGCCTCCCTGTGTGAGGAAGCCAGATGCAATAGATCAGCATCTTCTACTGGCCTCTAATATGCATCTCAGTTTTCTTTCTTACTTTTGCATTTGATTAGATGTCCCTGTACCCCTCCCAATTCCTCCAGGCAAATAAAAAATTTTGGAGCCCCAATTTCACATTAGACAATTTAGGTACACACTAGTAGTAACCATGGTTTCTCCCTTCAATAAACATCCTTTGTAGAGTTAAGCTAAAGCGGATAAAAATAATTTAAAAAGTTATAGCTGAGTAGTAATCCACATGAACTTCTTTTTTTTTTAATTTTTATTTTAAGATGTGTTTTATTTATTTGAAATGTAAAGTTACATAGAGAGAGAGAGATGGACAGACAGTGATCTTCTGTAAGCTGGTTCACTCCTCAAATTGCCACAAAGATTGGGACTGGGCCAGTCTGAACTCAAGAGCCAGGAGCTTCTTCTGGGTCTCCTATGTTAGTGCAGGGGCCCCAGCACTTGGGCCATCTTCTGCTGCTTTCCCAGGTGCATTAGCAGGGAGGTGGATTGGAAGTGGAACATCTAGGACTCGAATCAGCACCCATGTGGGTTGCTGGCACTTCAGATGGTGGCTTAACCCACTACGCCACAATGCCAGCCCTACAAATGAACTTCTATAGCTATCTCCATCCTTTAAATGATGTCATGAATTTACCACATCTCCTTCATGTTCAGAATACTGATTTTCAGACATATCCTCAATTTAAGAATAACATTTTGATAAGAGATATTAAGTTCAAATAAACATATTTAAATAGCATACATTTTTCCAGAAAACCCCATTCCAAATTATTCATTAATATCAACATCTAATCCATGACACATTCCATGTCTGAAGATTCTTCTGATAAATTCTGACCATCAGCAGTTGAGCCTAGCATCATAGTGATCACCAGTGCTTATGAGCCTGGTTTATTTAGAATTTTGAGAGCAATAATCTGGTTCTGAAATGCATTCAATACCGCTTGAATTATTCTCCATCAGTCTTTGGTTAAATTCAAGTATTTGTTTTGTTTTCTGATGGCTGTTAATTTCATGAGGGAGAATTATTCAGGAATCAAAAATAGATACCAGGAATATCATCTAGTTTTGAAGTCTCCAATCAGTTCCAAGAGGTTTGCATATACTAACATCCTTAATTAATCTGGGTAGCAACAGAAAGATGATTGTCAAGTTTCCCATAACTTTTAGACCCAATACTCCCTAAAGGTATAATCTGTTTTTAAGGATATTTGAAATTACAAATGCAGATTCCAATTTAAAATCCAACCAGCCCTCAGAGATAGTGATGAAAATAACTCTCCTCAAATAGTAATCCAATGAAAGAACAGCCTGGTGAGCAGATAGCTTTGCTGTGGGCTGACTGGGTCCAGGTTCTTGTCTCCTTTTCAAGAAAGAATTCAAGGAAGAAGCATAGATAGTAGAGAAGCAAAATTTACATGCAGAGTGAAAATACACACTCAGAAGTGAATACAGGAAATCTCAGGAGACACAGTTGTTCTCAACAAGATTCGGGGCTGTCACTTTATATGATCTAGAGGTTTAGGGGGTGGGGTCTGTGGCAGGGGTTAATTGAATATTCCATAGGGGCATAGTTGGGGGCAGGGCTTGAGTGCTGTAAATTTCCTGGCCTTTTTTGGAAATCTTGGCAGTGTCGTAGCATGAGGTACATGCTGGGAATGAGAATATTGGCCATGATAGTTTTATTATAATGACATTATAATGACCTAAAGATCTAAATGACAAAATTCGTGGAAGTTGTGGTTCACCGCTGCATGGAAGCGGTGAGGTTGGTGGTACACAAAGAGGGTTTTGCCTGGGTCACAGAAAGAAGGGTCCTGGGTGGTGCAGAGAAGAGGCAGTTGTTTGATTCGTGCAGGCCAGGGCTGCCACATGGGCTGGGCTGCTTTTGGGTTGGGCAGGCCAGCAAGGTGGTGCTGCCAAACCTCAGCATCTCTTGCTAGTTCTCCAGCACTGTCTACACCACCCTCGGTTCTTGGCCACATTATGATAGGCTAAGGAGTGACAAAGACTTTATACTTTTCTTCATTACCCCCAGCACTTGTAAGTTTTCTTGACATCAATTACAAGACATTTTCCAATTTGAGACACATAAAAATTAAATTTCTTAGAAGAGAAAAATCTGACTCATAGCTTGTGGCAATTTAATAAAACCACATTCCGTGTTTTACATGTTTGCCAAACATACTAAGCATTTTTCACTTCTTTGGAAGCTTTTGCCATATTATGGCCAGTAGGACTGTACCTCTAATTTTCTATTCTTAGTACACAGCCAGGTCTCTTCTAAAAATCACTAGAAATCAATATAGGAGACTTCCTAGGTCAGTGAGGGAATCCTAGTATGAGTTTCCTCTCGTGAATATAAACTCTGAACATAAATCAGAAATGTACAAAGGCAGGTAGAACAAGTCAACTGCCCAATTGACTAAACTTTGTCTCACTGATAACAACTTTCCAACTTACTGCATGGTCTAAGGATAAATAAGGAGACAAATAAAAGTAAAATAAAACATTCTGAGAATAGTACATGGAATCTGAATGTCATTGACACCGCCTCTCCTTATCCCCTCTCCCCTTGTACCTCCCACAAACCAGTATTACAGGGGAAATCCCATCTTGAGAAAATATAGTAAATCCAAATTTAGATCTATTATTTTGAGATGACAAAATAGGGGCCAGCACCGTGGCTCACCTGGCTAATCCTCCGCCTGTGGCGCCGGCACCCTGGGTTCTAGTCCCAGTTGGGGTACCAGATTCTGTCCAGCTCTTTGCTGTGGCCTGGGAAGGCAGTGGAGGATGGCCCAAGTGCCTGGGCCCTGCACCCCATGGGAAACCAGGAGAAGCACCTGGCTCCTGGCTTCGGATCGGTGCAGCTCGCCGGCCATAGCGGCCATTTGGGGGGTGAACCAATAGAAGGAAGACCTTTCTCTCTGTCTCTCTCATTGTTTATCTCTCTCTCACTGTTTATAACTCTACCTGTCAAATAAAAAAAAAAAAAAAAGGAGAGAGATGACAAAATAATATCCAACTGAAAAAAATCCACTGATTATATGGAAAGGGGATAGGATTTTTGGTTGAAGTAGACTGTTGATCATTATTTGTAATGAAATAGAAGTAATAACTAAAATAAATGCTATTAAAACAATGATTAAAATAAAATTAGAAGTTGTATTTGAATACACCAACATGTTTCAAATTTTCAGCATTTTCTACATCAAAAACGTGTTCTTTGCATGCATCTAGCATAACTAGGCTGAGTGAGCCCTGCCTGGGGCAGCCTAGATCACACTGGAATAGACTTCCAAACCCTCCTTGCTCTAAACCATCAGGCCCTGTTGTAAACCCCACAGTCTAACTTGTTTATCTCTGTACCTTTTCATCACAGGATTTTTTTTTTTTTACGATTTATGGCCTTGTTCCTGCTTTTAGAGTATAATTTAAATTCACTTTCTGTGTCACCTATAACTTAAATTATTACTTTCTTCTATAGCTGTGTGATCTTCCACAGTTCTAGGCGACGATTCATACATCTGGATCCACTCTGCCTCATTACAGCTCTTTTTGAGCACTGCCTTCTTCTATTTTAGGACAGATCACCCCAGTGAGGCTCAGATGCCTTTACGTAACAGGCAACCACTTTTTCTTAAAAAGAATTTGATAAGACTACGTATTAAAAATTTAGTTTAGTGTGGGCATTATGGAGCAGTGGATTAAATAGCTGAGTGGAATAGCCTCATATGCTGAGTGCTGATTCCAGACCAGCTTCCTGTCAATGTGCCTGGCAAGGCAGTACTTGGTGGTCTAAGTATTTGGGTCCCTGCTGCCCATGTGAGAGACCTAAATGGAGGTGCAGGCTCCTGACTTTGGCCTTGACCATCCCCAGCTGTTACAGGTATTTCAGGAGTGAAGCAGCAGAAGGAAGATCTCTCTGTGTCTCTCCCTCTCTGTCACTCTGACTTTCAAATAAATTTTAAAAAGAATCCTTAAAAAAATTACAGCTTAAATGTAATAGGAAAACCTCAAGCCTAATAATAAAGTTTAAAATTTATGTTTTCCTGATGTTTCTAGAGTATGAACTTGTCAGTAAAGACTAAATTCTCAAATTTTAAAGGCATAAAAGGTGCCATACTATGGAAGAGTTATTCAATTAATTCACATACATGTCATCTGTCACCATTAAATCAACAAAATGCATGAACTTCACAAAACAATAATTTATAAATTGTACATTTATAAACACAAATTATAATTCATTAAACATACATATAGTATAAAACAAAATTTGTTTTATGAAACATATTAAGCTATATATGTATGTATATATTCTATGAATATGCTTATGATTATTTAGATACATTACTACCGTATATACAAATAAGAAAATTAACCATAAATTAACAATTAGACCAAGCATATATTTACAGAATAAATCCTCTGCAAAATATAATATTTTCTAAAAATATTTTTAATTTATTTATTTGACAGATAGAGTTACAGTGAGAGAGAGAGAAAGAAAGAAAGGTCTTCCTTCCGTTGGTTCACCTCCCAATTGGCCGCCACGGCCGGAGCTACGCTGATCCGAAGTCAGGAGCCAGGAGCTTCTTTCCTGGTCTCCCACGCAGGTGCAGGCACCCAAGCACTTGGGCCATCCTCCACTGCCTTCCCAGGCCACAGCAGAGAGCTGGATTGGAAGAGGAGCATCCGGGGCTAGAACCCAGCGCCCATATGGGATGCCAGCACCGCAGGCAGAGGATTAACCTAGTGCGTCACTGTGCCGGCCACTGCAAAATATAATATTAATTATTTGGATTTCCAATTATTGACACAAAGCAGATTTCTTTTTTTTTTTGAAGAAACAGCAAATTTTATTTTGACATTCCTGCATAAATAATGCTGAACCCCAACAAGTTGCAAATAATACTTCTATTTTAATCCTGGGCTCCCACGTTGAAAATGGCTAAATAACTCTCTAGTAGAGCAAACTTTCTTCAATTTTTTGAAACCTGTATATCGTAAATATTGCTTGAAAAATATTGATGTTAATAATGTTTGGTTTGTATTTCACTCAAAATATTTGTCAGAGATGCATATGTATTGAAAAAGGCTGTCTACCTCATGGTTGGGCAAATATAAGGAAAACAAGGTTGAATATTTTGCTCTGATATCAAATTAATCTCGTTGGGAAAAAATGCACTTGAAATAAAATCAGGAGTTTTTCACTGGCTCAGAGAAATGGAGTTCTGTAGCTAGCTAGCATCACCTACATCAAGTGGCCAAGAGTCCAGATGGATCTGAAAGTTAAACATGGCTTCCTCTGAGCTGCGAGTGCCAGCTGCCGGATCACTGAATATGCACAGAGATAATCAGCCATTTGTTGAGAACCCCGGGCACATACCTTTGGCTTAGAGAAATAAACAGAAAAACTCATATTTCCAAATATTATCTCACAGTTTTTTGGCAGCAGATCTGGAATCACTTGACTACCTCTTAGGTAAAAAAAAAAAAAAAAAAAAAAAAAAAAAAAAAAAAAAAAAAAAAAAAAAAAAACTTAGGTAAACTTTTCACAGGCCAAGAGAGACAAAACAGCACACCTTTCAAGGGAACAGCAGTGGCAAAGAGGCTATGGTTTGCAAATAGCCGCCCCTTTCCATGGGAGAAATACCAGTCCTTTTTTTTTTTTTTTTTTTGTGATTGAGAACCGCATGTCAGACACAGCCAATACCCTATGCAATTAGATATAGTAACTGCAATGCCACAATTTCCCCAATAAGATTCTGAGCATAGGCAATATTCAATCCATGTCATTTTACAGAAGAAGAAATTAAGTCACCAAATGTATGCATTGCTTGCCTCAAAGGACACAGCTATTAAGAACAGGAGCTAGAATTTGAAGTGAGGTAGAAATAGTCATCTACATTCCTTACCACTATTATGCTGTACTGTATGGGAGGATGTGAACTTGCTAAGTAGGGGAAGGCTGTGTCCTGGTGCCATGGCCAGCCCCCTAGGCTGAAGAATTTGTTAGGACATTGCTCCTACTGCGTGAGTTTTGTAATATGAATTAGAGAGAACATGAGTGAATAGTTAAGCAGAAGTATTGGCACTCCTTTGGCAGCTGCAAGATACAAAATTACTGAGACTGGGAAGAAGCACCTTGCTCAGTGGAAAAATGCTATTGAGTAAACAATGTAGGAATCCACACCTGCTTGGTTTGCAGTAAATGGATTCTCAGCTGGCGTTCTTTCTTCTGTTTCCTGCTGCAAGTTGTAAACAGCACTAGCACTCGCTTTGATTGTACAAAGTTTATTGATTCTTGTCTGATCTTACATGCTCTTCAGAATTTTCCCAGGGATGTTTTGGTCTATTTTTGTAGGTTTTGATCAACTAGTTTATTGCTCTAAGCTTTCACAAAATACTACTGTAGTCATTTTGAATAATTTGATTACTGAAATCCCCAAAGTTCAATTAGGGCACTGCTTGTCTGGTATTATTTACTCCCAGCCTCACTACACCCACTTCAGATACACACACACACACACACACACACACACACACACACAGGCATAGACATACACATACACACACATTCATACACACAGAGACAGACACAGACACACACACACATGCTCACACTCACATATTGAAACAATTGGTTTTGTGACACAAATTTTGTCATTAATAGCAAAAGAGACAGCTGAAATCTCAGTTAGCAATGGAGGTGGTTGCCATAAGGTTTTCTGAGCACAAAAATGTTATACAAATAATTGAGTAGGTGCTTTGCAGTGAGGAGAGAGAATGGGGAGAAAAAGGCTGAGTGAAGGATGCTTGCCT